GCTTTTAGGTGCACTACCACACAGGACGAGTTTTTCATACGAAATTCATCTGGGAACCATTGATAAGATAATTTTGTTCTTAGCTCTAAGCCGGATCTAAAGTTTAAAGGCGGATATATTCGAAAGTAATTGAGATTTGAACTCACACAACAATAGTGCATATCATAACTATATGACAGCCACATATTCATAGGTTTGGGCTATTTATTTTCTACCTTAATTTTAATATTGTTTAACTAAAATATAGTTTATTCTACAACAAATCCCACACAAATCCGAGTTTTGAAATTTGCACAAAAATTTAAATAAATTAGAAAATTTTCACTTTTTATTCCGATTTTTTTTAAGTATGCAGTTTTATAGCCCATAAAATTCAAAATTATGTTTTCCCATAGTGCTTATCATAACTGTATGGCACCCACTTATTGATAAGTTTTTATTATTTATTTTATTATTTAATTCTAATTATTAACCAACCTCAAAAAAGTAGGAGTGTGTTCGTAAATTATTGTTATATCGAAAAAAATACACAAAACCCTCAATAATAAAAAAATCGAAAAACGATATTTTTTTATTTATTTCGAACTTGAAAATGCTAGTATTGGATGGCAACTAAAAATTCTGAAAAAAATTTGAAATTTTAGTGAAACTTTTTAAGTTTTGTACAAAGTTTGCGCCATGGATTTTGTTGTGAAATGACTATATTTTTAAAAGCAAAAAATTAAAATTAAATAGTAAAAAAAGGAGTCAAAACTTGACATTATGTGAGTGTCATATAGTTATGATAAGCACTACAGGAAAAAGCATAATTTAGTTTACACCTAATTTATAAAAAATTTAAGGTAACAAAATAGTATTTTTTTTTTATCTAGTACACTAAAGGTAAAAGATTTTTTGACAGCACTCTCTTAAAATTTTTTCCTTGCCGACTAAGTTTTAAATCGTGGCCATCAGCAGCTCTTTCATAAACTAAACCACCAGCTATACATGAGCGTGAACTTGAGCCAAAGTAAATAAAATATATCCTATACATTACAGCACTGTATGCCACCTACACGCGCAGACCTGGCAATGGCCCTGGACCAGAAAATTTATAAAATATGCCTTTGGAAGGTTGTTTCAAGCAATAATTTCCGAATATTTTACCGCATGCAAGTGTATATTTTTTCCATAAAACATAGCACAAATGGCGTGAAGTCATCTAATAAATAATCCTGCACATATGTATGTATGTATGTACATATGTGTGTATCTACATGTGTTTATAAATTAGTGACTGAATAAATGATGCGATATTGTTTTACGAACTATGGAAAACAACCCACTCTCTCCATTTTCCCTACAGAAGCTGCCAATAAAAATACGATTACCAACGACAATACAAATCTATTCATAAGCTTAATGCTGGTGGCAGCAGTAAAATACCAGAAAATCTTTATTTTGTTGACGCCAATACAAACAAAAAAAAAATTTAAATATAGTAGTCCGCTGCCCAAAATTATGCGCTGATGGATTGGATCAAAGATTAAAAAAAAGGTCGAAAAAAGTGTAGAAAAAAAAACAAAAAACTGCTGATAGTTTATTTCCAGCGGGTGGCAGCTGACGAAAAAACAACACTGAATAGGAATAGAATAAAATAAAAAAGTGGTGAAAAGAAAAACGAAATGCGTGCATTGAAAGCGAAGGTGCTGTGTAGCCAACACCACGATTCAAACGCTGGACAATGGATGTTCGTATATTCCCTCATATTCCGCGGTGTGACAGAATGACGTACAGTGGGTATTAACTGTGAAAATATGCCACAGCTGACAACAACACTCAAAGGCGGAGAATCACAATCAATGAATCCGGAGCTTAAATAAATAATATCTTCAAAAAAAAAAAAAACCTTCGCAGTTTTAGTTATAGATGCTACGCCCATAAAAGTTTTTATTTTTGTTGAAAATACATGTACCGAGTGCCGAAATAGAATTTTCGTGAAGTTGCTGAAAAATTTGTTTTTCTATTTTTTCAATTTTAGCTTCATTAACCCCACATTAACATTAACAGTGTTCAAAAATTTATTAACATACTTTATATGTTTAGGAAAAATATGTTAAAGATTGCAAGAAAATCCAGTTATCTACATAATTATATTACGAGAATTATGAGCGAATCCATGTAAAATCGGCCAACGTTTGGAATAAACCGAATTTGATTTGGAAGAATTTAGGTCAGAAATTCCTTTTATCATAACTATAACAAAGTACTGAAAAAAAATAAAAAATAAAAATTTCGGAAGTTCAAGCTTTCACAATTTCCCGGATTTCGCCAGTTTATTTTTTGAATATCTCTAGAACCATTAACTATAGCTAAAAAAATGATTCTGCTTTCGTCTTAGAGGTGATATTTGGGTTTAGTTATATACAAAATTTTTGAAATTTATATTATGGAAATGAATTTTTGGTAATATCCTGAATTTATATTATATTATCTATAATAAATATATGAATTTTTAAACTTTGAATTTTTTTTAACTCTAAATTAAAAATAAATTTCAAATAAATAATAGTTTTTTCAACATAACTTTATTTAGTATAGTTTGGAAACAAATTTCTTTCAAAATTTAAAAATTCATATCTTAAAAAATCGCCTTCTTGAAAATTTTAAGGCTTTTTAAGATCGAGGAGGTAAAAAATAGCCAAAATTGTTTAAGTTTTTGGTTTTGTGTCAAGGAATCATAAAAAAAAATGTTAATTTTAAGATAAATTTTTCTAAAAAAAAAATTGCCAACATTTTTATAACTTTTTGCTTTTACGATTTCTTTCTATTTCAATTGTTGGATAAGTTTTTAGTTTTTTCAATTATTTTTTGTCGACATATTTCCTTTATAGCTTTAAATATCACTTTTAAAACCATCTTTGTAACTTTTATTTTGGTTTTGAGATACTAAAAAAATACACTTCACAATTTCAAAAATTATGAAGTTTCGAATTTTGCACAACTTTCGAAAAAATTTTTATTTTTTTTCTTTGGCAAAACCTCGTAAAATATGATAAAAGTAAAGTTCTGACCAAAATTCATTCAAATCAAAAATGGTTGATTGACCCCCATATTCAGACAATTTAGATTAAAGTTTCAAGGCTTCGACGGGCAAAGTATTAGGAGTAATCCAATACATGGTTTTATGTACATATATATTTTAATAGAAGAGATGACAGAGACTAGGAATGGCAGTGATTAATCTTTGATTAAAATAAATCGATTATTTTTGTCCAATTTACGATTTAATTGCATCGTAGTTTTGAGTTTCATTAATAGATTATTAATCTATTAATTGTAAAATAATCGTAAAAATATTTTCAAGAAAAATTAGTTCTATATAAACTCGTGTAAAATTTTGATGTCTACGATTTGACAGTTATCAAATGTTGCTATAAATATTAACAAAGTTTCCTAACAAAACCCAAAAACTTCTTTCAATGTGGAACATTTTTATTTTATTTTCTTTATTAAATTTTGTAATCTAAATCATTTGGTAAAAAATATAATTTATTATGTTTATTTTTTAAAAACATTTATGGTGAGCACAAGTAGTCACAACGAAAAGACGCTAACAACTAACTGGATCCATAATTATGGCATGAGTTTCAGCTTTTTGCTATCACGACATTCTAAGGTTTATACACATAATTAAAAAAAAACCGTTAGAAAAAATATTTTAAACCACAAGATTTATAATTCAAAATGCCTAAGTTACCCATAGCCAACAACGATCCTCAAATGGTTAACATACTCGTACCTAAACTTAAAAACCCCCATAGAAACCTGCGAATACCAGCATGACAGAGTCTATCTTCCTGCGGCTGCTTCGAGCACTTAAAAGAACAGCAGTTCATAAATATTTTATCTGCTAGAACTGCTGCTCTGAGTTGTGTATTTAATAATTTCATTCACTTTCTTTATGCGCTTACATTTTCTTTCAAAACTCACACACTGTATTTGCCCAGCGCTACACGCCCACGGAAAAATCAACTGCGCGTCATACAATAAATTTAGATTTTGTTTATATTTTAATAAACGTAGCGGATGGCAGCTAAAAGAGAAGCTGAACGCACAAAAGGACGGCATCGATGGCTAAAACTATGATGGTGGACCAAATGCGGGAACTTGAAAAAATACTGCATATTTTGTACAAAGCGCTGTAATAAAATATTTCCTAATAGTACATCATCCAGCAGCGGCATACCAAACTGATTACAAATAAACAAATACATATATAAATGACCACTTGAAATTTTATGAAAACTGTGATGGAAACCACAAACCAATTCGAGAGGAGGAATAAAACATTTGAACAGCACAAAATACAGAAAGTGCTTACAACTGAGCTGTATCGGAAAACCGCTAAAAATAAATGGTAATAAATTTTCAGAAAATAAAAGTTCAGCTGAAGTGGTCAATGAGAAAGCAAAAATGAAAAACAAAAATATCAGAATATCTAATAATTCAAAGAGAATACTTGGAAGTGGAGGAAGGCACATATTAGCAGCGTGTCCACTTGCTGCCGGAGAGAAAGTGCTTAATGCCGTAGACAGTAGAAGAACAACAAGAAAGGAGTACAAAAATCAACGTAAAATAACGACTATGACTCAACTAACTCGCCAATTGTCTGAGGAGTCATCAACGGCACTGACAACGTCCATCAGCTTGTGAGCGAAGGAATGCGTGTGAAAGCGCGAAAGATCGCAAATTCAAGATAGAGCCAGTCAGACAGCGGTTAATTGGTGACAGAAGTCGGAATTGGGGCACACGAACTCATAAACTAAGCGCAAAGTTTCACCGACCCGGTTGATACGGTTCTACGGAAGCGCAATTGAATCAACGATGCGCGCGATAAGTTGCTGGGGAAGTGATGATGAAGATAATAAGGCGGATGATGATGATGATGAAATGTACGGCATGAGTAGCGATAATGGAACGCTTCGCGAGCGTCCACTTGAGCTTGTGAATTGCATTACCTGAGCCAGTCGGCGCGGTCGCTTTGAATTTCGGTACGAACATGCTGCTCGATGGCGTTTGCTCTGCAATTTAACGGGAAGGAAGAGTTGGAGAGTTTTAGAAATTTTCACTTGACTGCTAGTTAGGCCAGCGCGTGATATGTGACACTTTAATTGAAATATATTTTTTTTCAACTGCGCTTAACACAACTAAGCGTTACATCACTAGCAACACAACACCAACTAGAAACTAATTAGTTTATTTTTTGCCATTAATTTTTATTTTTATTTTTTTTTTTTCAAAACATAAACGCAAAATTTCATATTTTTTAATTACTTTCTTTCACCGACTCTTTAAAAAACACACAAAATAAACACTTTTATGCTGCTATTTGTACATATACGAATATCCGACTAACCCTGTCCCATTTTGCAGTTTAGCGCCTCTACAAAATTTGTATTTCAAAAATAATTTCAAAACCGAGAAAACACACACAGATCCGTATCGAACGCGCTGGGTTGTGGGTTGTGCGCGCCTTTGCGTCCGCCGCTCAACTTGTACCAAATTTTCGATTTATTTTGATTTTATTTTTGCTTTCGAAAAGCGTTTTCGAATCAAACGAGCATACATATGTATGTATTTATGTAGATCGCCGCGCGCAGATGGACGAATAGTCTCAAGTACGAATGGACTATTAGCTGCTGATCGGTTGGTTGTTTGGTTGGCTGGCTGCGTCGAGCTGTTGGCACGGCGCACGTCTGTGCTTTTTCTTGAATTCGTGCAATTGTGTACAAATGCTCTTTGGCTGTTTTTTTTTTTTGTTTAATTTCACTATAATTTCGAAAAATCGCCGAAAGGTTGAACGTGGCATACAAAAGTTTTTCTTTTTATGAATATTTTGCGTGCAGAAAAAAAGTATTTTGAAACTTTCGTAAACAACATAAGGCATGCGCTCTGCAATGCTCATGCAATGGACAGTTGTACCGACTGTATGTCCGTATAGACTGGCTGACTGATAACTGATATTTACAGAAGGCTGCCTAATTTCATTCAAAATATCTTTTAATAAAATACCTGCGACGAGAAAGGTGTCACATTGGCTGCAGAGGCTGTAAAAAAGGCGGTGATTGTCTCTCGGAAAATTTCATTGCAAAGTTATGTTCGCTGACTAAGAGTAATCAGGCCCCGCCATACATCAACGTCGACTGCATCCCACTAGCAACTCTTCCTTGTTGACGAGGAAGTTCGAGATGTATAAATTAAACAGTGGTGGGGAGAAGACATCAACATATACGACCACCGGTTTAATTCTACTTGGTTTCGCGGTTTGACCTCGAACGAATGCTGACCACTCCGATAAAGCGTCGTCTACCGTTTAAGGATGGATGTCAGGGTTTTGGCTACAAGTTTATGAGTAGCGGGGATCAGGTACAATGCAAAGTATGGGAGTAGTAAGGCCTCATGTATCGTCACTACTGGTAAGAGTAACAAGAGTCAACATGCATAGTCCATCCGGTCCAAGGGCTTTGGAGGCTTTTGCCTTCTTAGTTTCTGAACTATATCGCAAGTGAAAGTAACATTCGTAATAAGTTTTTAGAGATAGTGTAGCCGCGACGTTTGGCTTCACGCACCGAAGTAAGCAGTATGAACTGTCGACTAAAATGGCTTGCACATTTATACGGGTCTAACCAGACGCAATCGCTCTTTCCACTAATTCCGTAAAGCTGGTCACCCTAATTTGCTAGTACTGCAGCTAAAGTTAAGAATTTCTCGAGTCTACCGGAAGATATGAAGCGTGACACTACAGCGGGGTTCCACCTTGCGATACTGACGCTCGACAATATGACTGCTGATGTTGGGAGAGAGAAGCTTGAAGCACAGAAATGACGGCAAAAAGAGTAAATAAATTTCAAGTTGGACAGAATCTTAGTTATTTTAGAAGGCAGAGGGCGCAAAATTAATAATAATTCAATTTTAATTATTCCATGAAAACGACTGCTAATTTTAATTCAAAAGTTCAATTTTGTTACTCATACGGCCTCTTCGGAAATTCGGGTAGTTTTCTAAATTACACTTTACTTTTTATCTATGGGCAATAAAATAGCTACTTTCTATGTGGATTTACTCATAGTTCGAAGTATGTTTGCAGCAGCAACTTTTAACTGAACAGTTCAAAATTTAGGTAATTATTGCTGAAATAAAATATTTATATATAGAAATCCAGAAAATTTTACTAAAGTTATAAAATTTTTAGTAATTTGCGGCTGCAGCTGTACTATAATATTGACAAATTTTTATTAAAATTAATTTTTGATCTATCAAAAAACAAACATAAAGTACATCAGTAATACCACTTTATTCTGTTGATTGGAATTAAAAACAAAAAAGTTAATTACGAAAATGGTGGAAATATAGTGCAAACTAATAAAATTATGTACGAAATCTCTTCAACAGCGCCAGTGTACCTGTGCAGATCAGTGCAGCTGCTTTTTTGTTTTTCATAATGTAGTATGTAAAAGTATATGGATGTAAAGAATTATTCGTTTTGGAAAAATCATGCAGAAGTAGAATAGAAAAATATAATATATATGTACATACATATAAACTTATTTATATAAAAACTTTTCGACACATAAAAATGTATAGAAAAAGCTTTTTAGAAACATTAACAACTTTCACTCAAAACAAATTTGTGAAAATTCTAAAAGCTCCGAGCTTACTCAATTAAAAACTGATATTCTATTTTAAAAAGTTCAAATACTAAGAGTGAGTTCAAAAGTTATTTAACGTACTAGGTAGCAGGTACATATGTATATACGTACACTAGGGAGGTACAAAAAAAAGTAAAGTCGGAATTTTAAAGCTCTCACCCCCTAGGATTTTTATATTTCGAAAACAATATACCCCTATTTTTTATTTTAAAATCAAAAAATATTTAGGGATCGCTCAAAGCGTTCAAAGTTTTCCATGTATATTACATGGGCAACAAAAAAAATTTTCGTAGAAATGGTATAGAATTCTTGAAAATCAATATTTTTCGATCGGAAAACTGTGTTTCTCTGCAGGAGATTCCCAATAATAATGCCCAATTGTTTATTTAATCATTTTTTAAATAAAAGATTTTTTGTTGGTCCCCCCATTGGATTGGGTACAATTATTATAGGGAACCTCCTGAAGAGAAACTGAGTTTTCCGTTAGAAAAATATTGATTTTCTAGTATGCTATACCATTTCTACGAAAAATTGTTTTTTCCCAGATAAAATACATGGAAAACTTGAGCGCTTTGGGCCACCTCTAAATATTTTTTGATTTCTAAAAAAACATGGGTATATTTTTTTTATATAGAGCAATCCAAGGGAGTGTGAGCATAAAAATTTCGACTTTACTGTTTCACATGCATTTTTTTGGACCACCCTAATGTACATACAGCAAATATCATTGCGTTGCTAAATGCCTGAGCAGCTCATTAATATTAATGTGTTTGTAAAAAGTCTCAACTGTTCACTCGAATACCGAGTGTTTACGGAAAAATCATCAGGTGTGATTGCACGGATTATGCGCACAATGTTGGGAGAGATTGAACGCAGAGCAACCAATACAAGCGTCACGTACTTAATGCGCAGTCGACGCCACTGCCGCCCTCCTATTAGCAGCTTTTTGTTGCCTTTGTTGTGTTTGCATTTACAATTTTAGTAAATGTGCTAATGAATGAACATAAGGTTAGTTCAGACGAATGCTTTCCTAACCTAGAGACACATTTTCTAGTATGTGGTACACATACATCCATATAGTACACATGATCTTTCTTTCATCATCTGCCTATCGATCATTTTTAGAGACACATTCACTTATTGTTAACGCAGCATTCTCGCTTTCATTTGCTTGATATATGTATGTATGTACTACATTAAGGCGCATCACGAAACAAGTTTACTGTGCGTCAGTTTTATTTAAATACTTCTGTCGAGAAAAAATATTTTGGGTGTACAATTTTTTTTATAACTTTCTCATTTGCTATCCGACTTTTTAAACTTTTTATGTCACCGAAAAGGCCTCGCTCAGGACTATAATTAAATAAAGCCTAACCCTTTTTAGCAAGGTCTTCACTGTTTTGTGAGAGTTTTAGATTTATAGTATCTATATCTACAGATAGTAATTCCAGAATTAGTGAAGGTATAAATTAAAACTGTTTTGAAGGCCAAAACTGTTTAATGACCAATTATAGTCCTGAGCGAGACCTTTTCAGCGACATAAATATTAAAAGAATCGGATATAAAATAAGAAAGTTGTAGCAATAAACGCGACTTAGCGGGTTTTAGCGGTTGCCTTAAAAAATTTGTTTAAACCCAAAGTTTTCTGTCGACATAAGTGTTTAAGTAAAACTAACACACGCTAAACTTTTTTCTTTCATATGTCGTGATACAGCTTAATGTACATACATACATATGTTTGCATGTGGGTATCTTTGTCGCCTTGGATAGCGCATCATGTCACGCCTCATAGATAAGTAAATTTACTTAAAAATATTTATATATAAATAGGCCCCTAATATGTTTGGCTGTTTGTTTGTCTCCATGCAGTCAGTCTCATACGTTGACTTTTGTACGCGCAGATTGCATCTGTTTGACATTTAGTCGTTTGAACAGAAAATTCTTACAAGTTGTACATTTCGTTTCTTGGCTAAAATTGGATTTTAATGACACACTTTAAAATTTTTGTAGATATTTTTTATTTTTTTATTTTTAAATATGTTTGCATAATAGACGAAAATGTTATGTGTAAGGCATGTTCTTAGTGCTCATTAAATTTACGGTACATGTGTACATAATTTTATGACTTAGCATATTTTGGACATAAAGGTAGCAATCTGGAGAGTTGCCTGATGGCCAGTGGAGACCTGCGGTGTTTATCAGAATAAATATTTATTTTAATGTATGCAAATAAAAAGTAATCAGCCAGAAAGTGTTTCGAGAGATTATTATTAATTGTTTATTTAAGAGAAATAAGGCTTGCACTGCAGCAAAAAAATTTAGCTAGGAAAGTTGTGAACCGATTCACGCACCTCTAATATTTGACAATTTATGAAAGGGAACTTTTTTATATACGTAAGTTACAGTTGGAAAACGAGTCCTTCTGTGACTTTTTCACTACAAAATCTATTATTAGGCGGGGGGGCTATGTGTACGGAATTCCATTCACCACTGGCTATGCAAAAACAATAAGACAGAGAAGATAACGCCCTAATTTGGCCAAACATAAGTGCTCGGACTCCTACCATATTGCGGTACATCGACCAATTTTTTGAGCATCTACCACACAATGTATGAAATCTACCACATATTCGCGTTTAGGAATAGTTTTATTTTTGCTAGTCATAATTTTCTTTAATTTTTAATTTTAAGGGCAGAAACAAATTGTCCAACACTAA